CTGATAGTTTGGCTAGAAAAAAATATTTTCTATCCACGCAGTACGCCGGCAGCGTTCGGATCGGATACAATGACGTCAACGGTCCCGCGCCGGGCGGTCAGTGAACTTTTTTAGTAATTTGGCCATAACTTCGTCAATTTTTGTCGTAGAACAAAAATTTTTGGACTGTCTATTAAGGATTTCTTAGCCCTATAAATCTGCATTCACAGCTAAAAATCGAAATGATCCTCATTAAAGTAACTGCAACCTGGTGCTAAGTGAATCGCGACGGTTTACTTAACGAGCGGGCGCGGGTTAACGATAACTTCTGTTTGTGCGTTAGCAATTGTATTGTAGGTTGTAGGCGATTAGGCTGTTGTCTACAGACAGCTTGTACCAAAATCTCGAAATTGGCGTGTATCTCACCTGATGGTAAGTGATGATCAGGCCGAAGGTGGAAGCGAGCTTCACCCGGAATCCTCAACCACGGAGGAACTGGCTATCTTACCTCTAACTGCCGGCACACAACAATGCTGTTATGGCGACAGACTTTTAGGTAAGATGGTGGTAGCTAGCCAGGCGGACTTAAAACAAGCCCCACCACCAACCAAACCGAACAGAAAAATCTGCCCCCACGGTTATGGCAGACCACATTATGACAAAAAATTTAATATTTATTACAGTCGGTATAAATAGTGTGTAGACAATTTTGTTCTCAACTGTTTAATAAATAGTTGTTAATTTGAAAACAACAGTATTTGCCAGATTCTTGAGCACATTGTAAGAAGTAAGGTTTCCTTTTCCTTGTTCACTTATGTATTTTTCTTTTATTGTGTATTTAGCACACAATAAAAGAAAAATAATTCCATTATTCTATTCTATTATATTCTTTTCTTGAGAATAATGTTATCACGACTCAGTAAGCCAAATTACGAGTATTTATTATAAAAGGAGAAACTAACTAACTTGTTACAGATCAACGCACAGCCTAAACGGCTAAACGTAGGCACTTGAAATTTTGAAGGGACGTAGCTTAGGTACCGTAGAGGTGCACTAAGAAAGGAATTCCCGAAATTCCCACGGGAACGGGAATTATTAGCGGAAAAAAACATTTGTATGAAAAAATCTAAGCCGCGTAAGATAGGTGAAGGGGGTAAAACGGGATCCACGCGTACGAAGTCGCGGGCGGCCGCTAGTTGGGTATAATTTACAAGACAAGGATGTATCTATTCACATACGAGATAATACTTTAATACGAGTTAGAATCCTAACATTTGAGGTATACGATGTGAATAACGTTACTAAATCTTCCATTTTCTGAAAGATCCTGTTCATCCAGGCGCTCGCTTGGACCCGATCCCGTCTTAGGTTTCAATCCTTAGACATCCGAGCTCAAGTATCGACCGTGGGAATCCCGGAGAATTCTCGAGGCGACGGGATCGGGGGCACTCCAGTATTCTTTACTTTCTTTAGTGTCCACTAAAAGGAATACCAGAGGGAGCGTGAAGGAATGGTTGCGGACGCGTAATTATTTCCACGTCCTAAATATGGAATTCCATTGCGCGAGCAATGTTTGTTATTCGTTTGTGATTTATGAATATTAATACTTGTTACTATTGTTACATTACACACGTAGTGTAATCATTAACATTTTTATATCATACTTTTACTTGTTTTACAAATACTGTAAACGTAAAAATATAAACATTGGGGGAGGCCTATGTTCAGCAGTGGACGTCCTATGGCTGAAATGATGATGATGACTGATACTCTAGCTCAGTGGTTCCCGAAAGGTGGTCCGCGGAACTCTGGGGTTCCGTGGAAAGGCCGCAAGGGTTCCGTAAAAAATATTATCCCACGTTTCGTGACCGACGTTGTTCGCGCGCACCGACTTGTTTACGCACAAGGGAGGGGCAGGGCGTGCGGGCGGAGCAGTACGGGGGTTCCGCTAGGAAATTATAAACAATTAGGGTTCCTTGGCAAAAAAAAGTTGGGAAACCCTGCTAGCTAGTGATGATGCGTACCTTTCTTGAGGCTGAGCTGGTTCTCCCCGCCGGCCTGGAAGTCGTACAGCGCCACGAAGAGCTGAGGGTCGTCCTCCTCGTGGTGGGCCAGCAGGTTCTCTTTGGACGTCCATCTGCACAGATTGACGCTAGAAGATCAGGGAACGTGTTAGTATCACAGCATAGCGCGGCATCGCATGTAGAGCAACTAATGCCCAGAACACACGGTGAATCGCAATTGCAACGAAACTGCAACTCCTAGTTACTTTTGAGTTGCATCTAAGTTTCTGCCATAGATTCCGTTGAGAGACCACACATGACGCAACCATTTCAAACCGGTTTCAAACTGGTCGCGTCATGTGTGGTCTCTCAACGGAATCTATGGCAGAAACTTAGATGCAACTCAAAAGTAACTAGAGGTTGCAGTTTCGTTGCAATTGCGTTTCACCGTGTGTTCTGGGCCTAATGCTTCAACCACACCAACGCGTGTAGATCACCATCGCCGGCGCGATCCGGGAAACGACAGGTCGCGTGAACTGTCATGGGTCGCGCGACCTGTCATTGGCTGTCAATCTGCACGCGTTGGTGTGGTTGAAGCTTTAGCTTAGACGCAGATCACCGATTTTCAGTTTGCCAATAGTTGGAGACGATTCTAACTTGCATGAAGAATCGGCCGATATCAAATCGGTGTAGTGTGCGCATTTTTGTATATCTCCACACTGATCAACATCCCGACCCAACTCTGAAAGTCGGTGGTCTGCGCTTAGGCTTAAGCAACTGTAAGCTCTAAAGATGGCAGTAATGTTGCTCCAGTTGCTGAACATGTGACGATACTTTGTTAAAGAATAAAAATGTTATGCATTCCAATGTTCAATGATATAATGGATACAACCTGTCGTTTCCACCACTGTAACTCTTGTTCTCACTAGCTCTAAAAAACCACTGATATCAACCAGTTTATAACTCAATTTAGCCCACAATCACAACTATGATCGTAATGGCCACCCTCCAGTAACGTTGTTGTGAAATCATCGAAAAGCGCGGCCATTTTTCCTCGTCGCCGCCATCTGGCCGCTGCTAGAATAAATACAACTCCCGACTTCCTGGCTTACTAATTAATGCAAACATGATTTTGCGAATCGTGTGTAGGTATTAATCTGATTGTTACAATCAAATGAAACTCTATTTTCTTGACTTATGGAGTAGAGAGAAATGAATAATGTGATTTATCATCTTTTTAGTGATTTGGTGAAAGACACTAACACCCGTATTGATAAACGATGCTTGCTTAAGAAAAGTAGCAAATCGAACGCACAGCGTTAATAGAGCTCTGTGATTGGTTAGTGCGTGACCATGTGCGTCCACGGGTACTGTGAGACCTCATACTAATGTTTGTGAATACGGGTGTGAAACTATATACAGAACTAGGCTTTTGAAATTCTCTGTATACCTTGTAGTTACAGTCGGCGTCAAATAGTTTGCGACAACGAACTAACGCTCAAAATATTAAGCTAATAAAAGTTCCTAAATATAGCTTGCCCTACCAAAAATACACAAGAGTCATCTTTAATTCCGCTTTAGGCCCAAAACAGGCGGTGAAACGCAACTGCAACGAAACAGCAACTGTTAGTTACTTTTGAGTTGCATCTAAGTTTCTGCCATAGCGTCCGTTGAGAGACCACACATGACGCGACCAGTTTGAAACTTTCAGTTTCAGTTTCATTCATCAGAATCATCAGAAAGTTGCAGTTTCGTTGCAGTTGCGTTTCACCGTCTGTTCTGGGCCTTACAGGACAAATGAATGTCACCTATTAGCATTTATAACAAATCATGAAAACCTAAGCTTCACATATTACGAGAACATAAACTAAACACCCGCTAACTTTAGTTTGACTAAACTCGGTATCCATTCGGAGTTAGTGGCTAGTTCAACTAACTTGTCACCGCTGGCGCCTAGAATAAAACATTTATCGTAGCAATTCCGATGCGATATAAGTTTTGTCACATTGCAAACCTTTGCACCAAGTTTGCATTGCGCTGGAAACATACAAACTGGCCGTCGAAACTTTAGTCCGCTTTATTTGTGTTGATACAGTCAGCGTGAAATATTTCGTGACACCCACAATGGCCAAAAAATTGATTATTCCATTAAGTAAGTTTCCTAAAAAAGCTTTTAGTGTATTATTATCAAAGAATATTGGACACGTATATTTTTATTTGTCAATCAAACTAGTAATTACGAAGTTATGGTGCGTTGAAGTTCCGCATGACGTTACAAAGTGCTACACTTAAGCACTCTTTGACGTCAGTTGCCACTTCTTTTGAACTTTAGCGCGCTTTACCTCTTTCAATATTCATTAGTTTGAAAACGTGAAAAATACGTGTCGAGTATTTTTGATAGGTTAACTAACGGACTGCCTAATTCAAACTTCAAACTCTTGCTTTTTTACCCAGGAAACATCCCTATTACAACAAAGATGTGTTGCAGACTAAGGGCTATATTTCACCGGGGCACCATGGCGGCGCAACCAGTCGCCGCTACCAACAAAATGTATGCAGCTTTGCGCAACCAAACGGACACCAGGTGAGTAACTCTCTACAGAGCTGTATACATTTTGTTGGTAGCCGGCGACTGGTTGCGCCGCCATGGTGTCCCGGTGAAATATAGCCCTTATTGGCTACTTTAGTGTCACGAACTTTTTGACGTTGACTGTACAAAACAAAAGTGCTTTGTTTGAAGGTGACGCTTCATTCAAATTGTTTAATTAATGGAAACTTCTCGTGATGGCTCCAAAAGTGCGTATTAGAGTGACTTTAGTCGCGCCAATGTCAAGGGATTAGGAGACATGGCGCCATTTAGTCCTGTTGATAAATAAATCTTGTTTTTTATAAATCTTTGGACAATTTCACACAGCGCCATCTAGCCCCAAAGTAAGCAACTTAATGCTTGTGTTATGGGTGCTAGCTTAACGGATATACTACTTATATACTTTTTTTTTAATACATAAANTAATTAATTTTTAGTCTGCACTCTGTATTAATTTTAACTGTGGAAACTTTGCTGATTTCTGTCCTATTTTTTGTGTGATTATTTGTCTGTATATCAAAATTGTTTGTTTCCCTAATATAAATAAATAAATAAAAGAGTATCCGATTTCGGCATGTGTATTAATATTAGAGATGAAACGGATAGTTGTTTGGCCGGATACCGGATACCGGATATCCGGCCAGCTGCTAGGCCGGATAGCCGGATATCCGGCGGCCGGATAGTTGGCACATTGTCTCGTTGCATGTCGTGACGAGTATAGTGCCGCACAGGTGCTTCGAACGCGATCAGTGGGTCTATTAGTAGAATAGACTAGTCACACTTGGAAAATCGAATCCGTCCGAATAGAATGTCAGATTTTGCCACTTGTCTAGGGGGCAGATCAATTCAATTTCGGCTGCAATCGTGAGTGTGTGATTGAATAGCGAGAATTTAACTATACTGGTTGTGCCGGCACAGTGTCAGCACATTTATCACGTACTAGCTTTCCGCCCGCGGCTTCGCCCGCGTGGAATTTTGTCTGTCACAGAAAAACTTTATCGCGCGCGTCCCTGTTTCAAAAACCGGGATAAAAACTATCCTATGTTCTTTCCCGGGACTCAAACTATCTCTATGCCAAATTTCATCAAAATCGGTTGCGAGGTTTAAGCGGGAAAGCGTAACAGACAGACAGACAGACAGACAGACAGACAGACAGAGTTACTTTCGCATTTATAATATTAGTTGGGATAGTGCTGATGCTGTGACGTCATTTACCTTTGATCTATATCGTATAAATAGTCACGCAGTTCACATTAATAAACAGACATATAGCAGAGACTAACTACAACCCGTGTCTCATTCATACGGTCCCCCAACATGGCACACTGGTCATCACAAAAATCGGCCCACCTACGTTTTACAGTAAAACTCGTTTCTACTGACACAGTCATGGCGCCCCAACAATATTGGTGTTATTTGAAAGCCCAATAAATATCCTTAAAGAAAAACACATTTAATTTCTTAATAAACGATTAACATAAACACGATATACAATAAATGTGACTTGAAAAAAGACCTCACTTTGGGCTCACCTCTGGGATCAATTAGACCCATTTTTATGGTTATAAAACCAAATAATGATCTCACGTGTCCTCTTTAACAGATGGATAGCGATTAATTCCAACTTAACAGTTTTATAGCCATAAAAGTCGGCTCAAGCGTAACTACCTATTTTTTGAAGAAGTGACTCTGGATTCTTCTACAGACACATTTTTGGGGTAAAAACCTTTCCTTTAATGAAATGAAGTTTAGAACTAGGCTTTTAAGTGGTGCCAATATTGGTGGGAAGTGGGGATGCATACGTTTGAAAGTGCTTGTCGCGGGAGGGTCGATCTTTGTGATGACCAGTGTAGTTGCATGATGTCATCAGACCATCAGTGAAAAAAAAATCGCCTATTTTATTTGGCAATATTTCGACATTAACAGATATTTACTATTTATCTATGTATTCGTCATTAGAGAGAATAGCCCAGAAAAATAAATTAGTTTTGAAAGGCCTTAATATGGCTTTTTTGTAACTTTTTGGACTTTAAATAAAAGCCGTCATTATTGTAAGCAATATTATTTATATTTACCTCAAAGATTGATGTATTTCATTTTATTAATAGGAAATTGTGGTTTTTTTTTAATATCCGGTATCCGGCCGGATAGTGAGTTACTATCCGGTATCCGGCCGGATAGTAAATTAGGGCCGGATATCCGGCCTACCGGATAGTTGCCGGATATCCGTTTCATCTCTAATATTTGAAAGCCCAATAAATATCCTTAAAGAAAAACACATTTAATTTCTTAATAAACGATTAACATAAACACGATATACAATAAATGTGACTTGAAAAAAGACCTCACTTTGGGCTCACCTCTGGGATCAATTAGACCCATTTTTATGGTTATAAAACCAAATAATGATCTCACGTGTCCTCTTTAACAGATGGATAGCGATTAATTCCAACTTAACAGTTTTATAGCCATAAAAGTCGGCTCAAGCGTAACTACCTATTTTTTGAAGAAGTGACTCTGGATTCTTCTACAGACACATTTTTGGGGTAAAAACCTTTCCTT